CTGTGGAAGGTACAGACACAGTAAGCTACACTGAGACACCTCCATGTTTTCCTTACCAGCACTGTGGAAGGTACAGACACAGTAAGCTACACTGACAGAACATTTGACTGCGTTGCAAGGACCTTCCCTGCCTTACTTCTTCATTCTCAGAACCTCCCTGAAGTACACAAGCAAGACAGTTCCAACTCTGTGAACCTATTTGCATAAGACCACCATTCAAAGAAAGAAAACAAGGCACTGTATCTCATATATTTTCTGTGGGTCCTAAAATTTTAAATTAGTGAACTTTATCATTTAAAAAATTGGCATAAAATGCAATTGTCTCATTAAAAAGAAGTATAATCTACTTTCACCCTTAATGAGCAGAAGAAAAATAAAACTGAGCAATGTCACTTAGTCAGATGTATTTATTCCACAGTGACTTAGTAGAACCTGTCTCAACAGAAGCTACGGTACTAACTGAGGTGACCTTACAACCAGGTAAACTGTTTTGGAAGCAATCCCCACCCCCTCAAAATTCATCAAGTCAGGGGAAAATAAAATTAGCCATCTTTCTATACCATTTCCAATACAGTAAAGATAATTTCCCTAGGAATGGAAAACTATGCAGTATCTAGTACTAAGAATAAATTATTATACAGAGTAATATTAAGAGTTGACCAGGCATAACAGAATAAGGGAACACTTTTCAGTTAACCCTAAGAATTGACTATCTGCAGTATCCTAGTTGTCACTAATTATTCAACTACTTTACCTAATTTTAGCTTTCAATATTATCATTAGTTGGGTAACAAATACAGGCGTAGAAAACTCATTAGGCACCAACCCCTAGGCACTAAGTTGTCTTTCACATAAGTTTCCGATTATCCCTCTTCATAAGTGAGATTCTACACACAAAGAAAAGGAAGACTTACTTTGACTCTCCTAATAGCGTACTTGTGACCAAGAAGTTCAAACACGGGCTGGCGCACATTTCTCAAGTCCCAGCCTCTCAAACTGCAGTCGACGGCCCCGGTCACCAGCAAGTTCTGAAAACAATTCAGGAAAAAGAGCACACTGTGGTATCTTTGCAAGTGCCAATGTAAGCAGTGCCAATAGTTTCCTACTGGAAACAAATTTCTCCAGTAGTTACTTACTATGAACCCAGGAGTTATTCTTGAGAAACTCTACAGCAAGAAAGAAATAAAAAACACTGACAAGCAAACAGTCACAGGGCACGAGGGCCACTCGCTGTGCTCCCTCTGCCGAAGACGACCACACACCAGGGACAGGCAGTCCCTCCAGAGAGGGGAGGGGCTGTCCTACTCACTGTTAGTAGGACTGAGTAGCTAAGACATGAAAAATCATATCTGACTAATGAGCTCAATTTTCTTATAGTTTCAACATGACCTGAGGTTTTATCAGACATTGGAGTAAAAAGAAGAAGAAAAAGAAGAAGCCGATTAATTTAGGGATGTTTAAAAGAACAAAGAGTATAAATTAAGTTTGGTACATTTTGCTACATCTAAACCAACCATTTCCCCCGCTAACTCTCATGGGCCCAAACTTAATTATAG